AGATTGGTAAAGAAGCAGTTAAACTGTCACTATTTGCAGATGACATGATATTGTACAAAAAAAACCCTAAAGACTCCACTCCAAAAGTACTAGAACAAATATTGGAATTCAGCAAAATTGCAAGAAACAAAATTAACACACAGAAATCTGTTGCATTCCTATACACTAATGATGAAGTAACAGAAAGAGAAATCAGGAAAACAATTCCATTCCCAATTGCATCAAAAAGAATAAAATACTGAGGAATAAACCTAACCAAGGAAGTGAAAGACCTATACCCTGAAAACTACATGACACTCTTAAGAGAAATTAAAGAGGACACTTATAAATGGAAACTCATCCCATGCTCTTGGCTAGGAAGAATATTGTCAAAATGGCCATCCTACCTAAAGCAATCTACAGATTCAATTTAATCCCTACAAAAATATCAACAGCATTCATTAACGAACTGGAAGAAATAGTTCTAAAATTCATATGGAACCACAAAAGACCCAAAATAGTCAAAGCAATCCTGAGAAGGAAGAATAAAGTAAGGGGCAACTCGCTTCCCAACTTTAAGCTCTACTACAAAGCCACAGTAATCAAGACAATTTAGTACTGGCACAAGTACAGACCTACAGACCACTGGAACAGAATAGAGACCAGATATTAACCCAAACATATACGGTCAATTAATATATGATAAAGGAGCCATGGACATACAATGGGGAAATGACAGCCTCTTCAACAGCTGGTGTTGGCAAAACTGGACAGCTACATGTAAGAGAATGAAACTGGATCATTGTCTAACCCCATACACATAAGTAAATTCAAAATGGATCAAAGACCTGAACGTAAGTCATGAAACCATAAAACTCTTAGAAAAAAACATAGGCAAAATCTCTTGGACATAAACATGAGCAACTTCTTCATGAACATATCTCCCCAGGGAAAGGAAACAAAAGCAAAAATTAACAACTAGGACTATATCAAGCTGAAAAGTTCTGCACAGCAAAGGCCACCATCAATAGAACAAAAAGGAATTCTACAGTATGAGAGAATATATTCATAAATGACATACCGATAAAGGGTTGACATCCAAAATATATAAAGAGGTCATGCACCTCAACAAAGACAAAGCAAATAATCAAATTAACAAATGGGCACAGGATCTGAACAGACACTTCTCCAAAGAAGAAATTCAGATGGCCAACAGACACATGAGAAGATGCTCCACATTGCTAATCAGCAGAGAATTGCAAATTAAAACCACAGTGAGATATCACCTCAGACCAGTTAGGATGGCCACCATACAAAAGACAAAAAACAACAAATGTTGGTGAGGATGTGGAGAAAGGGGAACCCTCCTACACTGCTGGTGGGAATGTAAATTAGTTCAAACATTGTGGGAAGCAGTATCAAAAAACTCAAAATACAAATACCATTTGACCGAGGAATTCCACTTCTAGGAATTTACCCTAAGAATGCAGCAGCCCAGTTTGAAAAAGACAGATCCACCCCAATGTTTATTGCAGCACTATTCACAATAGCCAAGAAATGGAAGCAACCTAAGTGTCCATCAGTAGATGAATGGATAAAGAAGATGTGGAATATTAATCAGCCATAAGAAAACAAATCCTACCATTTGCAACAACATGGATGGAGCTAGAGGGTATTATGCTCATTGTAAGCCAGGCAGAGAAAGACAAGTATCAAATGATTTCACTCATATGTGGAATATTAGAACAAAGAAAAATACTGAAGGAACAAAACAGCAGCAGACTCACAGAGCCCAAGAATGGACTAACAGTTACCAAAGGAAAAGGGATTGAGGAGGACAGGGGGAAGGGAGGGATAAAGGGGAAAAAAAGGGGCATTATGATTAGCACACATAATGGTTGTGGGGGTGCTTGGGGAGGCTGTATACAGAGCCTTCTCTGTATACAGAGAAGACAAGTAGTGATTCTATAGCATCTTACTACACTGATGGACAGTGACTGTAATGGGGTATGTGGGGGTACTTGACTAAGGTGGGAGTCTAGTAAACATAATGTTGCTCATGTAATTGTAGATTAATGATATCAAAGAAGAAAAAAAACAGGGTATGCTGTATAATTTGCTTATATTTGACCTATAATATTCTATAATTTTCTTCACATAGTTTTTTGTATATTTTTTGTTACATTTATTTGTAATTATTTCATCTATTTGGTACCTATTATAAATGATATATTTTCTTCCAAAAAAAAAAAAAACACATGTATGTTACAAGAACCAGCAAAGGAAAGAAAAAGCTATATATATCATGCAAACACTAACCAAAAGCAAACTGTAATAACAACAAAGTGGACTTCAAGGCAAAAAACACTGCTAGAGATAAGAAAGGATACTTTATAATGATACAAAGTTCAATTCATCTGAAAATGGAATAGTTCTAAATTTGTATTCACCTACTAACATGGCCTCAAATATATAAAGCAAAAACTGACATAAATACATGGATAAATACACAAAAATCACAATCAAAATGAGACATTTTCATACAACTCTTTCAGGAATTGATAAAATGAGGATTAAAAAAAAGAAAAACCAGTGAGCATATATTACAGTTAAACAACAGAATTCACAAACCTACCATAAAACATACATATAGACCCCTATACCCAAAAAATGCAATATATAGTCTTTTCATGTTATATGCAGATATTTACCAAAATTTACTCTATCCTGGTCCATAAACCAACTGTCAACAAATTTCAAAACACAGAAATCATAGTGCATTCTCTAACCACAATGCAATTTAGCTTGAAATCAATAGCAAAAATTTACTTTAAAAATTAACATATATTTGGAAATTAAGAAACACACTTCTAAATAACCCAGGAAGAAAAGAAAGCACAATGAAATTTTATACTTAAACTAAATAAAATGAAAATTCTACTTCTCAAAACAAGTGGGATGCAACAAAGGTAATGCTTGAGGGAAATTAATAGACATAAATGAGTATCAGAATCACGAAAAAAGGGCTAAAAATCATGAAGCATCTATCTCAAAAAGTCAGGCAAAAGACAGCAACTGAATACAAAGTCAAAGAAAATAAAGAACAGAAGTTAATGAAATAGAAAATAAATATACAAAAAGAAGGGATCAACGAAGTCAACAGTTGGTTCTTATAAAAGAACATTAAAACCAACAAATGTCAAATGAGATTGATCATGAAAAAAGAAAAGGCATAGATAATGTCAGGAATGAAAAGTGGAACAGATCCTGCATTTTAAAAGTTCACAGAAAGATATTAAGAACAACTTTTTGCCAATAAATTTGAAAATTCAGTTGAAATAGAAGAATTCCTTAAAAATATAACTCATAAAACTCACAGAACTGGAATATCTGACTAGTCATAAAGCTATTAAAAGAATCTGAATATGTAATTTAAAACCTTCCGACAATTTCAAAACCACATAGCTTTACCAGAAAATCCTATGAAATATGTAAGAAACTATAACCTTCCCCAAGTTTTTCCAGAGAATATAGGGTATGCCCTCCAACTCATTTTATGAGACCAACAAATCTTGACACCAAAACCTAACAACGACAGCTAGACAAAGAAATTTTCAGGCAAATCTCACAAATATAGATGCAAAAATCATAAATAAAATAGCAGCAAAATGATCCACCAATACATTAAAAATGGTAATACATCTCCACCAAGTTGGGTTTACACCAGTAATGGGAAGTTAGTTTAACATGCAAAATTCAATAAAATTCAGATTGAGGGAAAAAATAAAGAGAAAAAAAAATCTATCTGCTCAATAGATACAAGAAAAATATTTAACCGAATTTAACATCCACTCACGATTTTAAAGAAACAAAACCCTTACCAAAATAGTATTGTAAAAGGGAATATCCATAATCTTGTTAATAGTAGGAGAAAACTTACAATATATTTAAGAGTGAAATATGAGAATGGAAAAAGACAAGAATGCCTGACATCACCGTTTCTATTCAGCATTTCACTGGACGTGTTAAGTCACTACAATGGGTCAAGAAAAAGAAATAGAAGGTATATGGACTGGAAAGGAAGAGAGAAAACAGTCATTTGCAGAAGGTCATTTATCCACATAGAAAATCCAAAAGACTCTGCAGCTAAATTATCAGAATAGGCAAGAATTGCCAGGTTGCTGCACACAAAGTCAAAATAGAGGTTTTCAACCTAGTCAGAGAGATTAGGAAATGCATCCCTGGAGAAGTAACCACATTGCTGAGCTCTAAAGGATATATAGGCATTCTAAGTGAAGACAGAAATAACATGACAAAGTCTGGACTGGAAGAAGCTTGTCAATAAAATGGCCAATGTCTCTGCAGAGGAAAGAAAAAGACTAGTGTGAGCTTAAGTTTGAAAGGTACTTTGCAGGTCAGACCATGCAGGCCTATATTAAGAACAATGAGAAGCCTTTGAAATGGTTTCAACAGAAGAGGTAATACACTACTCCGCAGTTTTAAAAAAACACAATTACAGCGCAGAGAATAAGTTACAGAAGAACAAGAATGAATGTAGATAGACCAGTTAGGAGTTACTGCTGCACTGCAGGCAACATTGATGATAGTTTGGATCAGTGAAGTTAGAAATTCATTGTATCAGAACATCGGCACTGAGGGCCTAGTAAGGGCAGGAAAGAGAACAGTAAGAACAAAGACAAAAACTCCCTACCCTTATGGGGTTTATTATATATTCTAGTGGGAAGAGATAGACAAATAAGTAAAATATTACTCGCATTCAGATGGTTGTTTCATGCTATGAAAAAAAATTATGCAGAGGAGGGGGAGTGGAAAGAGAGTTTGTCTCACTGCCCACAGAATCATAAAGCAATTAGATCCTGGGTAAAGAAGGGATGACCAAGAGTCCTGGAATTCTTCTGGTGACTGATATAAACAGGACTAAAAGGCATAATGATCTCAATTATTTTCCAAAATTTAACTTGGTAATGAACAGTTAAATGACTTATTAAAAAAATACATACCTTTCTCTTACAAAATCTGCTAGTTCTTTTGTCGATATCTGTCCATGTTTCATATTATGGTAAAGGACATCAAAGCCACTATTTTTTTCCCCCTAAAATATAAAAAGATTTTTATTTTAACAAAAAAAGAGACCAAAATAACTTAAGAATAACCCCACATTAACTTATATGCAATTCTAATGCTGAGGTGAGATGTTTTTCCTTAATTTAACATTGTTGGTCTTTTTATAACTTTAAACTGTATTAAAGAATACTATATACTTTGACAAGGTTACAATTTATTATATATACATATACATATACACAATCACACCCATAAACACTATAACCACTCATAAGGGTATATTATAAAATTAAATCTGAAATTTATTTAATATGTAGCATAATTTAGAAAAGATAAACATAGACCTTGTAAAATACATTACTGGATCCCATTTCAATTCATTTAATATGCATTGAGGAATTACTGATTTCTTAACACAGTCTGTGTTTAAGATAACTAAACCTTGACTTATGAGCCAAGACAGCATTACTAATGACATAAGCACTGAACACCACAAAAAACTTCATAATCACTAATAAAAGTTTTTCAGTAAATTTAACTTGAGAAGTGAGAAAGGAGATAAAACTTAAACAGAAAAGCACTAATAGCCTATTGTCTAGTCTTCAAGTATTAGGAAATTAACAGAACCAGACCACTATACAATCTCAGAAAACCTCTACTGCTGTTTAATTCAATGAACACTAAATTAGCAAGTCATAGCAAAAAAAAAAAAAAAACATTAGAAATATCAATTTTAAAGGTGAAAAAGCCTACTAATAAATTAAGCTCATGATAGCCTCTTCAACAACTGATGCTGGCAAAACTGGACAGCTACATGTAAGAGAATGAAACTCAATTATTGTCTAGTTCCATACATAAAAGTAAACTTGAAATGGACCAGAGACCTGAATGTAAGTCATGAAAGAATAAAACTTACAGAAGAAAACATAGGCAAAAATCTCTTGAATATAAACATGAGCAACTTTTTTCTGAACGCATCTCCTCAGGCAAGGGAAACAAAAGCAAAAATGAACAAATGGGACTACATCAAGCTAAAAAGCTTCTGCACAGCTAAGGAAACCATCAGTAGAACAAAAAGGCATCCTGCAGTATGGGAGGACATATTCAAAAACGACATATCTGACAAGAGGTTAACATCCAAAATAGATAAAGAGCTCTAATGCCTCAACAACCAAAAAGCAAATAACCCGATTAAAAAAAAGGTGGAGGATCTTAACAGATACTTCTCCAAAGAAGAAATTCAGGTGGCCAACAGGCACATGAAAAGATGCTCCACATTGCTAATTATCAGGAAAATGCAAATTAAAACCACAATGAGATATCACCTCACACCAGTTAGGATGGCCAACATCCAAAAGACTAGGAACAACAAACCCTGACAAGGATGTGGAGAGAGGGAAACTGTCCTACACTGCTGGTGGGAATGTAAATTAGTTCAACCATTGTGGAAAGCAGTATGGAGGTTCCTCAAAAAACTGAAAATAGAAATACCATTTGACCCAGGAATTCCACTCCTTGGAATTTACCAAGAGAAACAAGATCACAGATTCAAAGACATATGCACCCCTATGTTTATTGTAGCACTATTTACAATAGCCAAGATACAGGAGCAACCTAAGTGTCTATCAGTGGATGAATGGTTAAGGATGTGGCACATATACACAATGGAATATTATTCAGCCATAAAAAGAAAACAATCCTACCATTTGTGACAACACGGATGGAGCTAAAAGCTATTATACTCAGTGAAATAAGCCAGGCAGAGAAAGACAAGTACGAAATGATTTCACTCATTTGTGGAGTACAACAAAGCAAAAACTGAAGGAACAAAAACAGCAGCAGACTCACAGACTCCAAGAAGGGACAAATGGTTACAAAAGGGAAAGGGGATGGGGACAGCAGGCAGAAAGGGAGAAGGGGATTAAGGGGTGTTATCATTAGTACACATAATGTAAGGAAGGCATGGGGAAGGCAGTATAGCACAGAAAAGACAGTTACTCTATAGCATCTTACTACCCTCATGGACAGCGACTATAGTGGGATATCTGGGGGACTTGGTAATATGGGTGAATGTAGTAACCACAATGTTTCTTATGTGAAACCTTCATAAGATTGTATATCAATGATACCTTAATAAAGAATAAATATTTTTAAAAATTCCTGATAAGGGGAATGAGGTTTATTTACTAATTTGTTTACTATAAAACACAATATTAATATAGTAATAGTAATAAAACTTAGAAACAAAACTAGCCACTGCTCTTCACTTGGAAAGAAAAGGAAAATTCATTCTAATAAGGATGAGATGCAGAAGAAGCCTGTTGAAAAAGCACTAACTAAACATAAAAACTCTGCATGACTAAAAATCTTTTTGTCATTTATTCCCATTTGGAGACCATTTACTGAGTAATGAATCTGACTCCAGGCACTATTTTCTTTAACAATGTCACAAACCTATTAATAAAAATATTTACTGATCATGAGCTTTTTCTTTGGCACAAACTAAGCAAAAAGTTTAATATTTCAAATGACACTTCTCTACACATACATATCTAAACACACACATACATACAATCTTTTAAAGAAAAATTCCTCTGATGGCAAAGTGGCTAACAAAGAACCCAAGTTTTATGTCACCTTGTGAAGAATTACTTTGTAGCTTTGATAAGAGATGATAGTGTATTAAATTTATACATATTACATATATGAAAAAAAATACAGTAGGAGCATTAGAGCTTAGATCTAGGCCCATTTGGCTTCAATGTCTTCACCTGAACAAGACATTAAAAATTCTGGGGAAATGGGGGAGATACTACCCTTGAAACTATAATAACAGCTCATTATAATTTGGCCACCATTTGAGATTACCCAGTTTGAAGGTTTTTTACTTAAAGTATACCCATGCAGATTCTTTAAGTTTTACAGTAGCCATCAACCTTTTTAGTAGATGGTTCTAATTCAAAGAAAAGCAAAATAACAAATATTTCTGAATTGCATATCCATTTTATCACCCCATTCCTTTAAGTGAGTATGTTCCTGTTTTTCAAACATCAAGTTTTTTTTCTTATATTCTTTAATGCAAACAGGCAGAACTTGATTTTCTTTGGATAACTACAAATACACAAATGTACAAGTAATTTGACAACAAACTTTTATTATCACAATTACAACTAGCAATGTCTGCTAATTTTCAATATTTTACTAAAACTATAAATCATTCATGCACTTTGACCAAGCAATTCCCTTTTAGAAATCTGTACCACAAAAACACACAAAGACAAATGTGGAATAATATTCTCTGCAGTACTGTTTATTATAGTGAAAAACCAGAAACAACTCAAAACACCCATTAAGATTACTGGTAAAATAAATGACAGTATATCCTACACTGAAATCCATGACTATAGTAAAAAATAAAATTGCAGATTTTTAAGAATTAATTTTAAAAATCTGTCCAGATATACTGTCAATGGAAAAAAGACTCAATTATCATAATAGCCAAAAATAACCTAATGTTGGGAACAACTTAAATGTCCATCAACTGATCAATGGACAGACAAAATGAGGTATATCCATACAATGGAATATAATTCAGCAATAAAAAGGAACAAACACTGACACACACATTTTAATGGATGAATCAAACACTTTATTAAGTGAAACAAGTCAGACATAGGAGACCACATATTGTATGATTCCATTTACATGAAGTGTCCAGAACAGGCACATCTACAAAGCAAGTGGATTTAGTGGCTGCCTACAGCTAAGGGTGGAAAAGAGCACTGACTATAAAAGAGGGGGAGAGATTTAATTATTAGGAGGATGAAAATGTCCTAAAACTGATTTATGATGATGGTCGCACAACTTAAACTTACAAAAAAATGAATGAATTGTACACTTAAAATGGACACATTTTATTATACATAAAATACGTCTCAATGAGACTTTTTTTGAAAAAGCAAGGTATGAAACAGTATACATAGTAGGATTTCATTTTCATTGATAAAAAATAACGTATACACAAAAGGAATCTGAAAGCATATACAGCAAGCTTCTAACAAAATTATTTCGGGGTAGTGGAATGATGAGCACAGATTAACTTTCTAATTCTAAAAAAATTCATAATAAGTAAATAAATAAGCTAAGACTTTAATACAGAAGTAACTGAGTTAAAAGCTACCATGACAGCAGTTTTTAAAATGCAATTTTCTCCCCAATATACTACAACTGTTGACATTAAATCTTGATTATTATGGCTTGTTTTTCTTCTGCTGCTGCTTAAATTTTTAGATTTTCCTTTTCTATAACTTTTGAGATATAATTCACACACCATACAATTCACCATTTAAAGTACTCAATGCAGTAATTTTAAGGATATTTACAGACTTGTGCCATCATCCCCACAATCAATTTCAGAACATTATCATCACCCCCAAAGAAAAACCCATAACCAAACAGCTAGATTTTTAAGAGTAGGTATTTTCTCATCAGTGGCAAGCTTATCTTCAGCTGGCTTATTCATTAGTTTAACAAACATTTAAGTAAATACATATGTCCAGAAAATATTTTGTAAGCAAATGTTTAAAGCAGCATTATTTGAAATAGCCAAAAGACGGAAACAACCCAAATGTCCATCAATGGACAATGGATAAGCAATATGTGACATATCCATACACTGGAGTATTATTCAGCCATAAAAGGAATGACGTACTGACACATGCTACAACACTGATGAACCCTAAAAACGCCATGCTGAGAAAGTAGTCAGTCACAAAAGACCATATACTATATTATTCCACTTATATTAAAGACCAGAATAGGGAAATCTATAGAAACAGAAAGTAGATTAATGGGTTGCTTGGGGAAGGGTGAGGTAGGAAGTGATAAAAGGGTACACAGCTTCTTTTTGAGGTAATAAAAAATGTTTTAATATTAACTGCAATGATGACTGCACATATCTGTGAATATAATATGTAAAATATATCTCAATAAAGTCAAAAAGTTAAGTAAATACTAATTAATTCTTGC